AAACTATGAGCAAATAAACACATAAATAGATTATATAATTTCAGATAATAAGTACTCTGAAAGAAAGAAGCTCAGGCTAGAGCGGGCTGGAAGGGAGATTGGGAGAATATTTGAATAGGGTGGTCAGCAAAGACCTATCCAAAGAGGTTCCATTTGAGAAGACACTTAAATAAAATGAGGAAGGAATTCAGAAAAATACCTGGGAAGAACAAGAGCAAATGACCTGAGGTGGAAGTGAGCTTGAAGCAGAGTGGGCAATGAGGAGAAGGCAAGAGATGTGTTGGGAGAGTTCGTAAATACAAATGAATTTGCATTTTACCTCTCATTTGGATCAAAGGCAAAGGAGAGGAGTTTCAGCAAAGGAATAACATGACCTGAGTTCTATTTTATAAAGATCATGCAAGCTACTGTACCAGATTAGGTATATTGCACAAATCATACTCTGTTAGATTAAGGGTGCAGAACTGGAAACAGAGGGACAGTAAAGGGATGAACAGTGGTCCATGTGAGACATAACTAATTGGACCAAAACAATAGTGTGGGGATGATGACAAGTGGTTGGGTTCACCATTTGTTTAAAAGGTAGAGCTGATAGGACTTACCCGATGGATCAGTGGTAGGGTGTGAAGGGATGACTCCTGGTGTTTGTTCTGAGCAACTGGGTGAATGGTGACACTGTTTACTCAGGAGGGGAAGACTGGCAGACAAATGAGTGTGTGAGAAAGCAAGAGTTATGTTGTAGACATTATGATTTTGAGATGCATGCTAGACATCCAAATGGAGCTGCTAAGGAGGAAATGTAGTTCAGGGGAAAGGTTCTGCTGGGACATTTGGAAGTCATCAACATCCAGATGGCATTGAAAGGTGTGGACCAGATAGGGACAGTAGGGAGCAAAGGGTCAAGTTTAATAGAATAAGCATCAAATGATCAAGTTCTCTGAAAGAGTTACTCTCAAACTTGAGAGTATATGGGACTCACCTGCGACTTGATCGTCTGTAACTTGTTTACCAAGCAGGTCCCTGGGAACTAGCATTCAGAACTTCTGGGCTTTGAGAAGAAGCTTGGGAAAACAAGAACCCCCAAGTGATTATGAGGCAGGTGATACTTTGAGAACTGCCCTGGGAGGTAAGTAGATGGAGTGTGGAAATGTGGAGAACAAGGAATACTTAATTCTAGAGTTGGGGTGACCAGGTAGTGGGATCCTGAAGGATATTTCTGTTTTCTCTAGGACCATTATGAGGCCTTAACTTGCATTAACCTCTCCTTCCCTGTGCAGGTAGAGGTATACAGATATGGCACCCTATAAGCAGACCTTTGCCCATTATGTATCAGTCTGCTCCAGGCACCCCTACCCATGCCCATTCCAGAGCTTACCATATCTACAGATAGATTAACTAAAAACTCTCAGGTGCACCCTTGTGATAGGCTTCAATTGTCTAAGGAACAATATGGCACCAATGAGGCTCCTGGCTACGGTCTGCAAGACAGGTGCCAAACACAAGCATGGCTCCTGTCACTCAAAAGAAGGGTAGCTTGATTTCCTTTAAGACAAAAGTCATCAGGTGAGTATTCTAACTGCATTTTGGCTGCAGGGTGTGTGTGGGGGGGTTGGTGTTCTTTTCCACACTCATTTTCTTATCTCCACACCAGAGTATAGGCTCACCCATCAAATGAGTCATAGTGAGCACAAAAGCTTTCTCATCTGAATCCCCAACCCTGAGCCCTCATCCAGTGCAAGGTCTGCCTTGCCAACTGCTAACGGACCTTTCCCTTAGCTGACTTGTCATGTCAAAGCCAGAACTCACCATCTTCCCTTCCCCCCCAAACTTGCCTCCCCCCAAACTTGCTTCCCTTCCATGTTCATATGTCACTATTTTCATCATCCATGTTTGAGTGAGATTAGTACCTCTGATTCCTGCTCTTTCACTCTAGCCTGTCATTGAGTTTTGCCGATTCTTCCTTCAATATACTCGTCACTTTCTCTCCATTCCCACTGTCCTTGTTCAATTTTGTCATTTAATTGAATTATTGTTTAAGCTTCTGTTATGAACCGAATGTGTGTGTTGTCCACCAAATTCATAAGTTGAAGCCCTAATCCCCATTGTGATGATATTAGGAGTTGGGGCCTTTGGGAAGTGATTAGTTAGATGAGGTCATAAGGTTAGGGCCCCATGATGGGATTAGTGTCCCTATAAGAAGAGAGAGACCAGAGTGCCCTGTTTCCCTCTTGCATGCTCATGCATGTGCTCTGTTTACCCCGCCCCCTCTCCCCCTCTCCCCTACTGTCTCTATCTCTCCCTCTACCCGCCTTTGTTAACTCTCTCCCTCTGCCATGTGAGGACAAAAGGAGAAGGGGGCCATCTGTAAGCTAGAAAGAGAGCCCTCACCAAGAACTGTATCATCTGGCACCTTGATCTTGCACTGCCCAGCCTCCAGAACTATGAGAAAATGCCTGTTGTTTAAGCCTATTGTTATGGCAGCCAGTGCTGATTAAGAAACTCTTCCACTCAGTTTCTCTGCTGTTAAAAAATAAAATCCAACTGAGTAAATTTGAAGATATAATTGGCTTTATTAAGCAATTCACAAATCGGGCAGTGTCCTATCTAGCAACTAAAAGGGTAGTCCGAGGAGTTGTACAAAATGAAAAGTTTTTATAGAAAAATGTGTGGCAAGGCAGCTATTAACAAAAGGAAAGAAGGGATTATATTATAGACCAGGACATCTTTTGGGGGGAAGGGAATGGCAAGGGTTTTAATCATTGAAGGGATTGCTTCTTCTTTGGGGAGTGGGGGGGGTAGGGGGGTGGGGAGTGGGGGCAGAGGTTGGAAGGGATCCAGGTGATAGATTACCTTACTGGTGCTTGATGAGAAAATCCCCAGACTGGTTAAGATTATGTTTTGGGAGAGGTTGAAACAGCAAGTAAGTCAAATATTGCTGTTGGCTTGTTATCATGGGCTTTAGCACAAGCATACCATTTTGGGCCTGTGGTTTTCTTTTTAACACTGCTTCTTGCCTCCATTCTTTGTGTGAAATATTAGTTTCTTTCATGGCACTTATCACTGATTGTAATAATATCTTTGTTAGTCTGTTTATTAGCTTGATGTTTATCTTCATAACAAGGTGGTGCCCTCCATGAATCTGTGTCTCTTTTGTTTACCACTCTGGACCCAGGGCTATGTACCATGTCTGGCACATAGTAGGTGCTTAATAATATGTTTCTGGAAGAAATGAAACACTGACTACAAGAAAGGCCTTCAGCTAGGTCTCTGCAATGCTTGTCCTTTCTGACTCATGCCAAGGTTCTTTTCTTAAAACACTAATTTTAGCTGACTTAACCCTTCCTTGTCAGAGTGTTTATTGGGTCCCCCACTCCTTTTGAATGTTTATTAGAGCTAGGTAAATTTAAGATCAAACTTTTAGTGAGGTGCTGTGTGTCATTAAGAGAAATGCATTTAATTTCAAATTGTGGATTTGTTTTAAAAGAAACCCCCAAACTCATGAGCATGACAGGAAATAGATGAGTCATGCCTCCCACTACTTAGCGTCTTCTAGGTTGGGGCTTGATACAATCAGCACTAACTGCTTGAACCTACCTCACACAGTTACCAGAGTACTGCTCTAGGTAGGCACAGCCCACAGTGCGCCTTTCTCTGCCGTTCACATGTAGGGCTCAGAGAACTTCCACCAACAGTGCAGTGTGGGCTCTATGGTATGACCCACCATTCCTAGAGATTGTGTGTATTCTGTGACAGTGTGTGCTCCAGAACTGAGTGAGGAGGGATGGAGGAGGAGGCAGGGCAGATTCTTTGACTACAACTATTTACAAAGTTGGGAAAACACGGTTTAATAGAATTTCCTCATTCGTCAATGTTGGTCCATTTCCCCTCTCTCCTTACTAAGAGGAAGTTCCATTCGCTCATAAAAGTACAGAATCACACATTCCTCAGCCTGGAAAAGCCCTTGAAGGAGGTTACTCACTTTAAGAACAAATGGGGGCCTTCTGTTGGGGACTTTAATCCAAATTCCGGAGAAGCCTGGAAGTGTCTCACCCCCCGCCGTTTGGAAGAACTCTCTCAATTTCTCCCACAGCCCTGGCTGTGCTGGGCAGTCCGAGGGTAGCTTAAAAGCCGAGGAGATCCAGCCAGAGCTCCGACTCCCTTCCCTTCTTCCAGCTGCTCTGCCATTTCCTCTTCCAACCACCCTGGCCTGGTTTCCTGAATTCGATGCCTCTTATTTATTCTCTGAGTCTTTATATTCGCCTCTTGTCAGCCTTCATCCAACCTTTCTCAGGGGCTTTTTCATTAGAGTAGAAGCCATCTCCAACACTCATTTCCAGGAGAAATTGACCAAACCCACGCCTCTTACCAGCCTGACAAGGAGGCCTCCAGGGCAAAAGTCTGAGCAGGTCCCAGATGGTGCGATATTAGTCAAGTTCTCTGAAGGTGATAGGATCAATACTTCCCCAGAACCGATTATTATCTGAGTGAAAGGCAAGAGGCATCCTCCCCAAGGATTCAGGCTGGGACAAAGAACAAAGTGCATCAGAGACTCTGGCCATGAGCCCTGGGTTTGCTCCACCCCGTGGGCTGAGCTTGGGGAGAGACTCAAACCCACGCATGTGTGGCTTTTCGTGGAAGGAGCAGACTGCGTTTAGAAGAGAATGATCACTTCCGTACTTATGAGAAGTACCCCTAGAGGTACCTCTAGTCCAGGGGAGCAGGTGGCTCCAAGAAGGTCTTGTTTGCTGTCTTCCTGGAGGGGAGGGGCTTCCGGGATCTTCTTTCCAAGTTATCAGAATTTATACCCAAAACATCATGTTATACTTTCCACCCTTTTCTTTTCAGACTTCTGAAAGAACCCCCTGTATACTCTTTCATTTACATGCATTTTCATGATCTTTCATTACATTACAAACTCTTTACATGTCTTTACATTATGTTCCATTAATTACACATACTTTCACTACATACATTTTCATTATCTCTTTTATTTTCACCTATTTCCAAGAAAAATTGTCCATTTCCCTTATAGCCAATGACAGCTATTTATTCATAAACCACCATGTGCCTGTCGAAACTCTTTATACGTGATCTCATTTAAACCATATGACATCCTCATGAAGAATTATTATTCCCAGCTTATAGATGAGGAAACTGGAACTTAGAAAGGATCAGAAATTTGCCCAAGGTCATAGACAATAAATGTTAGCCTGAGGACTTGTACCTGAATCTGTGTGATTTGAGCCTGAGTCTTCAGTCCTTAAAGTAACATCGCACATCTTATTATCACTCCTCGATCACCCACAGCTTGAGTCCTCCACCAGCCACTGTGTCATCAGAAATCTGACTGGTTTCACACAATTCCCATGGTCTTGACAATTTATTGAAATAAAAAAATATATCACAGTATTCAAGTCACATTCACATCCACTTCGTCAGTGGAACTTCACATCCCTGAAACAAGTCAGGCATTGTTTTCTAGTTTTACAGATGAGGAAACAAAGGAGGACAAGTGATTTTTCCCAAGATCGCATGGCTAGAAACAACGGAGTCCGAACTAGAACTTCTAGGCTCTTGAAATATGCAGAATTCTTTCACTGCACTATTTTGCTTTAATAAATAAAATAATAAATAAATAAACCTTCCAAGGGAACCTTGAGGAATCATTCCTCAAGCCTAAGTTTCCAGAGGGAGTTGTTACCAGGCTGTCACCTAGAGCTTCTTGGCAGAGTGAAAAGGTTCCGTTCCAGCTGGATCCTTAGGCCAGAATGTCTAGTCTCAGAATGCCACAGAGAAATGCAGGGCCATGGGATGATTTAGGTCCGTCAATCCTCCCAGTTTCTTGTCCATGGACTGTAAACCAGCTTTGAATTTAGATTCCAAACTGACTTGGGGAAGCTGGGCCCAAAGCTGCCCGCTTTCAGTGACCAGTGTCTGTAGTTCTCTTAGCATGATGCCATGGACTTCTGCTGGATCTGTTAGCCCTCAGCATGAGAAAGAAGCGGGCTCTAGGTAGACAAGGGTTCCACAGTCCACTTCCTCCCAGCCCAGGATCAGATGCGGTTAGAAATATCCCAGAGGCCAGCTTGGCTAACATCCAGCCTGGAGGGCCCCTTATTTCACATATAGGGTAACAGGCCCTCTGAGAAGTAGCTGACCCAAGGTCATGCAGCTGAACACTGAGAGCAGACATCACAGTCCAGTACCCTGTCCTGTGGGTCTGTAGCTGGATGTCAGCTGCAAACACAGTTAGGCCCCAACTCTGACTCTCTGGGGCAGACAAACGAATGCCTAATCCCAGAGGCTGCCTGAAGGGCTGAGTTTCGACCAATATAAACAATCATTGTTTCTCTAGACCTGTTGGCAAATGCAGGGGCCAAAGGGTAGGGACAGTGCGTGGCTTGGCCACTGCAAGTACTTGAGGGGGATGCTGCTCTATTTGCTGAAAGAGGAAGATATCTGCATATGAACATAAGACATCCCCAGAGGGATGGGTTCTGAGCCAAAACACTCTGCTGGGTCTCAGTTCCTTTCATCCCCCTATGGCTCTATAACAATGGTCGATGGATTAACTGGCTGACCAGGGCAGCCACACCTTAAGATCTTCCATGACATGCTCCCTACCTGGGAAGCCTGCCAGTGGAGGAGTTTCTCCAAGTGACCATCCCAGCCTAGTGGTCAGGTAATCATTCATCCAAGAGATAACACTCGGTCTTTGCTCCCTCTTTTTCCCCTTAGAAATGACCCTTGCTTGCTGTGAGGCCCTGAAGCCTGCATCTTCCCAGCCTCCATCTTGCTAGAGGCCCTGACACATGGCTGGCTTAGTCGGGGAGGCCTGGATCTGAGCTGACTTCAGCCTGGCAGGCTCAACACAACTCCAGAAAACCTCATGATTCCCAAGAACAAATAATCTTTATCATATAGAAAGAGTCTTGAGTGAGGAAGAGGTCTCTGCCTCACCCTTCTCAGCTCTATCAGAGTCTGTAGGGCCCTGTCTATAGAAAAGGCCACCCACACACTCTGCACCAGCATAGTGAGATGGTTTCCTTCTGCCTGGGCACCTAGGCCAGCCCTGCTGGGCCTGGCTAGGGCTGGCCCTACTGGGCTTGCAGAAAAGTGTCCAGACTGGCATCATGTTTTACTTCTGACTTCTGGGGCCTCTCCAACTAGTCCAGCCAGGACAAAGCTGAAATCAAAAGCACCCTCTTAGCCTGAGTCAGTCATTTGAGTGCAGACTGGAGATCAGTGGCGGGGTGACCAGGTCTGAGTCAAAGCTGCCCAGGAGACCATCCAGGGCTGCCACACAGTCCAGAGGGAGAAGATCATGGGCAAAGTTCCAGTCAGATGTTCCTAGGTCACCACAGCTGGGTAAGCCCAGAAGTGACCATTCTTCAGTTGGTTGGTTCCACTGTCCAGTTGGGGCCTTTGAGGGAGCAAGAGTCATTTCTGGGTGATTCTGTTTCAAATAGCCCTTGGCCAGGGCTTGTGGAGGCCAGCTGTTCTTGGCATCCAGGCACATTCTGTATTTGAGGCCAAGGTCACTTGTTGAGGAGGACTCTTCCTCCAGGCAGTCTGCCTTGGCTGCCCTCTCCTCTGTGCCTCTCGTCTGTTTTAGGTAGCCCTGAAATGCCACCATGGCTGGGTCTTTTTCTTCAGTCACTTCAGGCTCCAAGGGACTGACATGGCCCAAGGATGAGCCATCTTGTACATCCCTGGGCTGCGCCTCAGAGTTCTGGACTAGGCCAATGCCACTGTCATCCTGGCCCTGGCTATTGCTCCCCACCTGCTGCTCCCAGTTGGGTCCTGTGCCAAGACTCAGGCTGGGCTCCTGCATGCAGATCCCGCTGTCTGTGCTGTTGCTGCTGCCACTACTGCAGCTGTTCTCCAGCTCCAGGGGTGCCCTCTTTCCCAGAGTCCGCTCAGTTTGGGGGTGGGGAGCAGGGAGGAGGAACTGAGGCTCTTCAGTTTGCAGTGATGGCTTGGCACTGCCAAAGCCACTGTCCGTGCTGCCATGCAGCTCTGAGTTTCTAAGCTCTGGGGACACCTTGGAGAAGGCCTCCTCATCAAGGGGATGGATGGTGTCTTGGGTGTCTGGGCTGGGAAGCTGTTTGATGAGACTGAAAGGACTAGACTTCTCAAAGACCTGGAGAGGAAAGAAAGGAGCGGGTGAGGCAGAGGGCCACCTGGAGAAACCTACTCGTGTTGCTGTGGGAGGCCATGAGTCCAGGAGGAGAGATCAAGGAGGTAGTGCTCCAACAAAAGGGGACTACAGAGCCTGGAGTACACAGCCACTTGTTCTTTTTGTTTTGTTTCAGCATCAAGTTTTCCTCCTAATGCAATTCTCAGTTTGGCTCAGGCCAGATACATAAGAAGCCAGTATTCTCAGAGCCCAAATGAGATGACAAGCAGAAGGGGATCTGCAGGGAATGGTGAACAATCTCAATTGCTGTGCTTTGCAAACCTGAGAGCAGGCTGGACTCATCTAGATCTAGAAGTGTGTTTCAAATGCTTTTGACTATGACTCCAAAATAAGCAATGCGTTATATAATAACCTGTATGTAAGTAGCCCATAAATGTATGACGCATATACAAATAACTAAAACTAATTTGACAAAATAATACTTATTACTACCAGTGATCTGTTTTCTATTCAATTCTATTCTATCTCATCCTACCCATTTCATTTTTTCAAATGCTGGATGTGAGACATCAAATTAATTTCTCTACTCCCCGAGTTTCACAAACACAGGGTGGCTGCAATGTGGGGCAGTGGAACAAGCACAACTAGCAGCTGAAGAGCATATTAACTGCCAAGGTTCTCAGGGAAATCACTTAACTCTGGCTCTTCCGTCCCAGCCATACTAGTGTTCTTTCTGCTCTGGAACACATCAGCACAATGCTGTCTCAAGGCCTTTGCACATGCTGCTCTTTCTAGTTGGAATACCCTTTTCTCAGTGCTTTGCATGTCTGTATCCTCCTCACCGTTCAGCTTTCAGCTCGGATGTCGCCTCCTCAGAGAGGCCTTCCTGATCACCCTTGCTATAGTAGTGCTCCAGATACTCTCTCCACATTAACTTAGCTTACTTCTTCCCAGCACTTAATTCCTGGAATTATTTTTTAATTTGTTTTCATCTGTCCTCTTCTGTCCCCGATCCCAACATGCACATACACACACAATCACTCCCCACCTACAAACTCCTTAAGAGCAGTTGCTATCTAGACTTGTCAGCCACTCTGTTCCCAAAGCTTAAACTGGGCTGGCACATAGTAGGCATTCATAAGGTTTGCTGACTGATTTACTGACTCACTGTTGCACATCTGCCCTCATTCTCTTTGTATGTGATGACTCTAATACAACTCTTATTGGTTGAGTTTCTATTAATATAACATGGCTTGGTGATTAAGGATGTGTATTCCAGAGCCAGGCTTCATGAATTCAAATCCCATCTCTGCTTCTTTTCAGCTCTGTCACTTTGGCTAAATTCATTATCCTCTCTGTGCTTTAGTTCCTCACCCGTAAAATGGAAATAATGACAGTATCTGCCTCCTCATGTTGAGGTTAATGCATGTAAAGTGCTTAGAACAGAGCCTAGTATATAGGAAGCACTCGACAAATATTTGGTGAATTGAATTTTACTCTCCAATAGTTCTCTGAGAAAGTATTATTGTTTCTATTTCCTAGAGGAGAAAATTAAACCTCAGAGAAGGTAAGCGATTTTCCCAAAGTATGTAACTCTCCTGATTTGAAATCCCCACTTGTCCAATATTACTTACCTTGATATATTGTTGAAGAATCAAATCAAAGCAGCTAATGAATGTGAACAAGCTAAGGAATGCGAAGGCGGTCTGTGCACTATAAGTTGTTCATAAAGTTAGTGATGACCATGATCATTAGATAAATGAATTGGGCTGTATTTGTCTTGAGGGGGGAAAAACTCTCAAGAGCAACTCAATTCTGTAATCCAAATGTATAGAAGGAACAAGAAACCAGAGGTTGCCTGTAATCTCCTTTGGTATTTTGTATCTATGTCTATTTCAATGGTTTGCAAGAAAATTAATAGTTTATACGATCACCCCACCTGGCTATAACCAAGCCCCTCTGGGACCAGGGCCACATTAATCAGCATGTCCTAGGTACTCAGTAGCTGCAGCTCAACTGCCACCACATTTGCTCTTTTCCTAGATACTTTTCCTGATGCCTGACTAAGAACCTCCCATCCAGTGTACCAGGACTACCCTTCTCCACTTCTCTACTTTATAGTTATCCATCCTGAGGGCAGGCCCCATGGTGCACTCATCTCTATATCACTTCATCCCAGCTCTGGGCCCTGCACATAGAATATATTCAAAGTTCTTGTCAAACAGGCCAATGCATATGTTTGTAGACCTGAATCTCTGCATGGCACAGAGAAAGGACAATGAGCTACACACTTAAGCGAGACACAGAAAGCACTTTATAAGCCCTAAGGCTGGAAGGCGCTGCCTGTTCCGAGTTCCCTTTTCATACTTTCCTACCCAGGGCCCTGCAGCTAGGAACACAGTTCATTTTTGCCTGGACAAATACCCTAATTAGGCCAGGCAGTCCCACCCCTCTTCTCTCCCTGTCTCCCCACTTCCTGGAATTCTTACTCAAAATAATTTCAGAGGGTCTTTGTCTCTCTCCTTATTTTTCCTAGAAACCCTGGGATTGCTCTGCTGGGTCCCCTTCCAGATGTGAGCCAGTGGTGGGGGATGTGGCAGGCAACCTTTGGAACAGCCTGAATCTCGGGCCAGAGAGAGGCTGAAGTTTGGAAATGCCGCCCAGTGCTGCAGGTTAAGTTTTGGAGGCTTGTTTACCATGAATGAAGCATTTTTCAGAACTGTGTAGCAAGAGGAGACACTCAGGGAGGGGTTGGAGACTATGGCTTCCTCCAAAAACCTCTCCTCTCCAGCATCACCTTTCCCTCTGCTCTCCCACTCTGAGGGCAGCCCAAGGGCCAGCACCTCCAGCCCTGCGTTCTTCCCCTTCCAGAGTACTTATCGCCAACCACTGTGGGTGGGAAAGACTGGGTTCCATCCCGGCTATTCCTGGCTGTGTAACCCTGCACCTGTAACAATCTCTCTAAGCCTCAATTTTGTCACTTGTAAAATGAGGACAGTAAATATACCCGACTCAGAGGTACTAATAATGCACAGGGGCTGGTCCATTGCCAATTACTAGTATTTGGTAACAAACTGACACGTGGGGGGTTGGGACTACTCAGTACATATCTTATCTGGGTCATTAGAAAGAAACCTTCTCAGCACTGGGCTTATGGTCAAGTTTTCACTCTGCCCCCAGGTGCTTAATGAAGGTGCTTTCCGATAATGTCAGGGAAGGGACTACCTATGAAGGAGCAACTGTCTTCTGGAGTCCTGGTGGCTAGGAAGGATGGGGTAGTGGCCTTCCTGTGAGACTTACCAGGACGGCAGGCAGCTTTCTCCGGTGCCGCACATATAGCTGGAGGACCAAGTGATAGGCCAGGGCTCCACAGAGCAGCAGGACAAAGGTGAAGAAGATGCTGAGGTTAGTCACGGTGAAATCTGCAGGCCAAGAGAGATGCATTTGAGGCCAGGCACTGTGGGACGGTCAGTCCTCAGGGATCTCATGGCTATTTTCTGGAGCCACTCAGTGAGTAGCCCAGGTGACCCTCACCGACCCAGGCTACCTCTAGACCACAACCCTAGATGTATCTGGGTTCTTCGGAATCGCTGCCTGGTCTCTGAACCTTGGCCCTGAAGGATTTCCTCACTATACACATTGACTGCTGCCAGCTCTCTGCACTCATACTACAGCAGGCGGAACAGTGAGTCAGAATGGTATAACAGGTAAGTACAGGGACTTTGGCAGCCAGATCTGGGTTCAAATCCCAGCCCCACCACTTACTAGCTATGAGGCTATGGAAAGATTCCTCAGCCTCTCTTAGCCTTAGTTTCCCTATCTGTAAATGGAAAAATAATGGCACTTACTACACAGGATGGTTGCAAAGTACACAGCACTTACCATCTACCAAATCCTTTACTTATGTTATCTGATCCATATAACAACCCTAGGAGGAAAATACTATTATCATCCCTATTTTTATAGATTAGAATCCTAAGTCCCAGAGAGGTCAAGCAACTTGCCCAACATCATGTACCTCATAAGTGGTAAAGCTGGGATTTGACTCAGACCTCTACACAAAGTTATTTCTTTTTAAGTGAGTAAAAGCAGAAAAGGCTCTTAAGGCTGTCTGACACACAGATGATGCCTTACTCTGCTTAAATGAGAGGAAGGCTTAAGCGACAATGAGCTTTCGAGTACTTTGGAAATGTAAGGACTCACTTTGGTCTTTGCCAGACCCTGCCCACACTGGACTGGGAACTTCCAGTGTACTGACTGTTGGCATGATTCATTGGGCACTGGACATATGCTGTCCTGAGTTTTCAGTTACAGCTTCCTCTGGGCACACCCTGTCCAGACTGAAAGATCCCTGGGGCAAGACCATGGCCTTCACATCTCAAATCCCCTTCCCCTTCCCAGTGCCTGGCTAAGAAGCTGGCACAGTATTTGTTGACTTCAGCAGCTGTGGCGAGGAGTCAGCTAAGTTCTGCTTCCTCTAAGGGGAAGGTAAGGAGAAGGCCCTTTGTGCCCTCAGCTCTAAGAGAAGACAGCAGAGGACTGTAACAAACAGGAACTACCACAGCTGACTGAGGGTGACCTGGGGGCTTCCTAGGGAGGATAGCTGTGCTCAAGTGGAAGTATCTGCAGAATCAGGACACCTGGCTCTGCCACTGTACCCTAAGAAGTAGCTTAAATACACTGAGCCTCGGTTCCCTCATCTCTAAAATGGGGACAGTAGGAGCTCTCTCATAGGGCTGTGTGAGGATGGAGAGCTTTGTGGGGGAGTGCCTAGCACAGTGCCTGGCATCAGCAGTTTTTTGGATTGTGTAAGATACTTCCTGTGAGACCCTTCCTGCCTGTCTCCCCTTAGAACAGCAGCCCTGACCAACTCACACTGCCGAGACAGCACGATGCACTCCTCCTCGGACCATATCCCCTTGTTCACTCGGGAGCCCACAGAAGGTTTCACCTTGACACAGAACTCTCCCACCTCTCCGGGGATGGAGAAGTTGAAGTTTTCATGTTTTACCTTCTTGTTTGTGAACTGAAATGAAAACAGTGACAGCAATAAACAAAATATCCTTGTTTCCTGATGCATGGAAGCTGGGAGCTGGAGGGGCCTTTAGATGTAATCTAGGCCAATGCCCGTCAGTGTTCTAATATAACAAACCCTGTATTATCAATGTAGCCCACTATCCCTGTGATTACCATGATTTATTTTGTATTAAAAAATAAAAGGAAGTGTTTTAAAGATGCTGAGGACCTTCCTAGAGGGGGCTGGAATCTACTGTGGTAGGAGGGGAAGAGGATGGATTTTGCAGATTCTAGCTCTCCCATTTACAGGGGTGTCCTTGGGCAATTACATAGCCTCTTGGAGCCTCATTTTCCCATCTATAACAATGGAATAAATATCCACCTTCAAGGAGACGAGAAACAATAGTTACAAAATGTCTCCTGTGTTTCGTGACACCTAGTAGGCAGTGTCTTCCCTGCCACCTGAGAGGAGCACCAGTTTTAGGACTGAGGTCATCTCAATTCCTTTCCCACCCCTACGGCCTCCCTATACTCTACTGGCAATTTCCCCAGCAGTGCACAAAAGGCACTCCCAGCCCAGGTCCTGTGGCCTTGGAAAATCTCATACCTTGTAGTGTCCTGGTACTTTTCGAATTGCAATCTCATACTCGCGGAAGTATGGGAAGATGCTTTCATATGTGTCGTTTTTAGGGGCCATCTTGGGCCTGGGGGGCTGGATCTTTCCGAAGATGATGCCATCGTGCATCTCTAGCTTGATGCTGCCAACTGTCAGATTCACTGTGTGGGGAGGCAAAAACATGAGGCCTGCAGGCTGGGAAGGGCCTGGGTCCCCCACCCATGCCTGGCCTCCAGGGTCGAGCTTTACCACCCTAAAACCTGGGCCACCTAGCAGAACATTAAGACTTCCTGGGGAGCACATTAAAAATACAGATGGGCCCACTCAAGAAACAGCGAATCTGAATTTTTGAAGCAGGATCCTAGAAACACCCAATATTTTCAACACACTCCTCAGGTAATGTTTCTGCAGCCAGCTGAGCACTGGCCTGCAGGCAGACATTTGGGAACCAATGATCTAAAACATCCTAGACTATCAGTTCTAACTGAATTCTGAAGAGCAGGCTCATCACACAGCACAGTGGGTCCCAGCCTGCAGAATAGGAAAAACTCATTGTGTTTGGTGCTCGTTCTTTCCTCCTATCTCAGAGAGACTCCCAACTTCTCCTTGTAGCACCTCCTTACTTCAAAGCCTCAAATCTTAAGCCCTGGGAGTTCATCCCTAAAGTGTGTGTGTGGGGAGCTGATCCAATTCTGCCTGCTGCTTGCCACCCTATGCTGAGTGCTTATAGATTTGATTCCTCTCTCAGAAACCTCCAAGTCACAGGCCTGGCCCTCGTGACTCAACTGCCCCAACTCACCCCCAAACTTCTCTTCTATAGGAAAAACAACTCTAGTTCCCTTTTAAATCTTGAACAACTTGACTATTTTCATCTAAACTTTCTCCAAAGTCCTGACTCAGGTTTGTTTGAGCAACTAGTTCCCCAGCCAGGAAGCTCGGATGACATGGCGAGCTACGGGAACAGAGAGAAAAGTTCTAGACTAGAGCTTCTGGCTAGAAAGGACCCCAAAAGCCATGTTCTAGGCCCAGGAAAGGAAAAACACCTTCATCTATGGAGAAGCGGGTTCTCGTGATAGTCCAGTTAGAGTGCCGGCTTCCGTCCACTGCCCGGACTTTGGCTCGGTAACCGTAGTTATGGTATAGGTCTAGGGTTGCCATGGTGAGATCACAGGACAGCAGCAGGGTCTGATTACAGCTGGGGATAGACTTCCAGGGCTCCATGCCATACCTGGGGACATATCAAGGTAGGCACTGTCAGAGAAACTTGTGTTCATACCTATCTCTTTTAAGAGGGAAGAAGCAAGAGGCCAGGGAGGGTGCTCCCATGATGGTTCAGCCCTCAAGGTATTTCCTCTAGTCTAGGACATCTAATTGCAAGGGGGTCTACCTTGGTTCTGGGACCCTGTACCAATTTCTCTGTGGTCTTAGAGATTCTTAAATTGGAATAGTCACTTCCAATTTGTCGCTTAAATCCTAACTCCTCCAGGAAGACTTGCTATTCCTGGAAACATAGCCTAATTTCTCCCTTATCCCAACTACATTTACAGTCGTTAGGGTTTCCTTCTTTTTCAACTGTACTATGGGTGATTTTCCTGTTTTTCCAGTAAGATGGAAAAACCTAGAGGGTAAAGGCAATACTGTGGCTTTCTCATCCCAGAGCTCCCAGCACACCGCTCAGTACATATGAGACTTAATCAGTACTTGTCAACTGATGGATCTATACCAGGGTCCTTCCTGGTGTCACTTCAGCAACAAGGCAGGTATCTTCCTACAACAAGGCAGTAGAAGGTGATGGATTCATCCACTCCTTCCTTCATCTCTCTCTTTCTCTCATCCTCCCTCTTCCTTACCTCAGGAGCTCCACTTCATAGTAGGTCCTTTCAGACTGATTTGGGATGGGTGTCCAGTGGAGGATGTGGCGGAAAAACTCTGCTTCAAACCACACAGATGGAGGGCTGAGCAGTTCTGTTGCTGGAGAGAAAAGTATTAGTATCAGAGCTGGCAGAGCCCACCTCCTGCTGCATGCTGCCCTATGCTGATTGCTTACAGATTCGATTCCTCTCCTAGAACTCTCTAAGTACACAGACCTGGCCCTTGTGACTCAGTCCCCAAACTTCTCTTCTGTAAGATAAACAACTCCAGTTCCCTTTTGAATTTTGAACAATTTGACTTATTTTCAACTGAAGATGGTGGCAAGCATTCTAACAGCTCCCATTTATTGAGTACTTTACTATGAGCTGAGTGCTCTGCTAAGTACTTTACATATATCATCTCATGTAATTATCACAACAGCTCTGCAAGGTAAGCATTTATTACCCCAATTTTACTGGAGAAGAAATGAAGGCTCAGAGAGGTTAAATGACTCGCCCAAGGCCTCCAGGGCTAGTAAGGGGAAGAGTGGGCCTTGAATACAGATGTGCCTAATTCCAGAGCTAGTATTGTGTCCTTAAATCACTGTCCTGTGCAGTCTGTGATCAGAAGCAGAAGCGGTGGCTGAAAAGAGCCAAGCTGGGTTTGATACATCCCAGGCAAGGAGGCAGGGGCTGAGGGCTAAGGTATGTCCACAATGAGCTTTGGGATGAGCTAGTCCCTGGCTCTGCCCAAGGGCCCCTCTCTGGAGTTCTTTGAGTACCCATATACCCTTCTTGTTGGCACTTGCCTATTTCTCCTGGGCAACCCCAAGCTGAAGCCTTACCCGATTCCCCAGCTTCTAGAAGGGCTTTACCTATAGCCAAACGCCCAGCTTCAGGCTGGGTGAGAACATACAGAATGAAGTAGCTCTCATTGTAGACTGGGCTGAGGACATTTCCACAAAGAGCTAGCACCTTTGGCTCCAAGGTGAAATACTAAATACCAGTGCCCACCTCTATCTCCTGCCTCCTGCTCCCTCCCAACATACACCATTCACCATGGGAAACCAATTTTAGGAGCCTCAAACTAGCACTGGCAAATTACTTGCACCTTACCAAACCCGTTCTCTCATTTGTAAGGGTGCAAATACACCTATGTTAAGAATCTTGCCTATCAAGTGCAATGAAATAGGTCAAGGGCAATACCCACACTCTGCTCCTCTTCTCTTCTCCTTGATCTCTTAATGTCTCTAGTCAGCGACTCTCTCAGGCTTCCCTTGTTCTCTAACTTATCATCCCTCTAATAATGCTTCTTTTTTCTGACCGTGATTCTCTCTTAGAAAGTAAATCTGTCCCTGTCCCTTGCTTTCTTCTTTATATTGTCTTTGATCTTCAAGTCTGTCTTAATTTCAAAAGGTTAGATGGAAAGTGAAAAAAAAATGCAGTGAGACTTTGTGGTGTTTGGGCTGCACATACCCAATTCAGCTCTTGGTCATGTGAATGCTGACTGCATGTTTTACTTTGTATTTTGGTGTGTGGACGCAGTTTCAGTCCCTGCTGATCCTGCCTCTGCTCTTGGTCCTTCCATCTCCCAGACCCTTTCATTCTCTCTTTCCAGGGTTTACTCTTCTTAGTTGCCGAAACCTTCCAGGGTAACAGGCTGGGTTAGGAAACTGAGCTAAGGAGTAGCAGTAGGGATGAGAGAGGCAGGTGGCAATGGGAGTGCATAAGGGGCTAAAGGAGCAGGGATGATCAGATGCGGGTGACAGGTGTAGTGAGGAAAAGAGCTGGGATGGGGCTGAGATGCACAGGGCAGAAACAGGTTAATTGAAAGGCTAAGGGAAGGATGAGTCAGATGGGAGAATCAAAGTAATTCTCCAGAGGGACAAGCAGTCTCATCATTTGAACAGGAACAACAAAAAAGCCACCAATGCGTCAGGAGATGGATGGACGATGAGTTAGGGAAGAAGGTCATTTAACTACTCTATTCCCCTCCACACACACCCCACACCCCTCCAAGAAATCTCAGCTACTTCTACAACTGTGTGCCTGAGACCTGGGTTGACCAGAATGAGGGAGATTCAGGGAGAGAGGAGATAATCGGTGCCTCTCTTCCCAGAGGACCAGCCAGACGGGGTCTTCTGTAGGACGCAGAACTTTAAGGTACGGGTGACGAATGTGGGAGTCGGGTCTGGCCACCCACACTGCTCAGACGGAAGAG